AATAAAAACATGTTTTTTACATTTTTATGGGTTCTGTACCAATGTTTATTCGTAACATTACGACGCGACGCTTACGCGCTTTGATATTCTCTCTTTACGCAGCTAGAGTAGCGCGATTGCTTTGCAAAAAAGTTCAAAATTACTTAAATATAAAAAACATCTAATTTTTCATGAGTCATTTTTTTTAAATTTCAAAATTCTCAAAAATATATTTTTTTCCAATTTTTAAAAAAATATTGAATCTTTTTTAAAAATCTTAACTTTTGGTACGGGAAGTTCCATGACACAATGCCATGCACTACTAGTTGAATTATTCAAATCGGTTGATCCGTGTTCCCAAAAATGTCGACGAAAATTTGTATCCACATACACACATATATATACATACCCACATACATCGATTTTTTTTTAAAGTATGCCAAAATATTCAGGAACCTTTAAAACGTAAAGATATACGATTGCGATTACTATGACTTACATTACGGGAAGTTAATTAGAACAAAGAATTTTACAGGTGCGTTCACAAAAGGGGTGAACAAATTTTGTACATTTATACTATTGAAAATTTTGTTCAAACATGCATTTTACTCTTCACTTACATGTTTACTTTTTCGTTACATATTTTAACCCTTTGCGCTCGGCACCGATTCAAGAGTTGGGTTAAACACAATCAGGTCCAAATTGAGTTAAACACAATCATGGATGCACAGTCAAAGTTCTTAAATATAATTTAAGCAAATATATAACATTGTTTAAGAAATATTTTATAAATATTACATTGAGATTAAAAATTTAGAAGATTTCTAAAACCGCTTATTAGACAATTTTTAATTCATAATACTTTGATAGAGAAAAACTGAAATTATAAATAATCAATATATGGAAATATATCAAATCTATGATGAACTTTATTAGTTGCATTTAAATAAATTAAAAGTGTTACAATGTAATAAAAATCTTTCATATCTGATTCTTGCAAAAAGGATTGTGTAATGTTTTATAAAAATGTTAACTAAATTCCCGTAGGGTAGTTATAGTAGTCGAAAATGTATTTTTTATTATTCTTCACGTTTCAAAGGTTTCTTCAACATTTTGGCATACCTTAGAAAAAAATTATGCATGTGTGTGTGTGCGGATACAAATTTTCGTCGACGATTTCGAGAAGACGGATCAACCAATTTCAAAAAACATTCAATTCGTATTGATAAGGAGACGTGCTGATTAGTTTTTGGCTGAGGCAGTTCCAGCCGTTTCGTAGATACAAAACAATAAGTTACAAAAATGGTAATACTGTTTTTGAGATAACGAAGCGTCCTATTTGAATGATTCAAAGGTCTTTTTATTAAATTCTAAAAATTCAAAATTTTCAAAGATCTAAATTTTTCAACTTTTTCAAAATATTTCAATGCCTTTTTAAAATTTTAAAATTTTGTTACGGGAAGTTCCAGCTTTGCCTTAAGGCATGATGCCATGCAGCAATAGTTTTAACAACGAAAATAGTCGGTTGAAAGTAAAATAGCTGTTCACTAGTAAATATTCGTTAGAATCTCATGAGCATCTTATTAGAAACGACAATACAAGACATTTCTGATATATTGATTTTCTATATTTGATTATTTATTTAATTAGTAATTAAAATCGTAAATAATTATTTCCATTTTTTTTTCAAATCTTAATAAGGTTGATATGCGAAGTTTTTGTTTATTGATTATATTTCTTATATAACATTCATTTATAAATCAAGAATTTCCAGCAATTTACCTTGAGGTCCGAGGTCATAAATTATTAAATTATCTGATGATATTAACTTCACATAAAAACCATTATAGTTCCAAATTTCACTCCGAGTTACCGGTGTTTTTCCAATTGGAATTTCGTGTGCTGTATCTGCGCTAAAAAATAATAATAATAATAATAAAATGAAACATTTCACAATTTAACAGTTAATCACAAAGTATATAGTATTCACTACAATCACTGTTTCTTAATTTTAGTCCTATATTTTATGAGTTCACTGTATAACCAGTCAACACACCAAAGGACCTCTTACATCAGAGGTAGAAAACAATTCTTTTAACATCAAAACAAACCACCACATTATTTCTTCGTTGTAAACATAGTTATAAAAACTCAAATCACTGATAAAGGACAAAACAATTCGATGCACATTTGGTCTAGAACACAAGACAAACAAATGGTAGGAAATAATTCAACCTTTAATAGCACGTGGTCTATGACACAAAAACGAAAACAAGCCGAGGACGATATTGTACCGCGCCGAACGCCGGGAGACGACTAAACGATCCGAAAAAAACAGACTAGTTTTTTTTACGAAATTCTATTGGCCTTTGCATTATAGCATTTAACCATATACATTTCATAAAATTATGTTTGTTTAGAACTTTGTTTATCCGGCCCTCTGTTATACGGATTGGCAATGATTCGGACTAACAACCGCGACCAATTTTATGTATGTACATACTTGTAATTTGAATTTTTGCATAATTAATGCTGCAGTTTAGTATACGTATGTAACTATGTAATGTAATCTAAGAAAATATATATGTAGATAAAGAAGTTTCCATTTTCCTAATAAACATTATTTTCGTTGATCTATATATGTATGCATTCGTTATTTTTTGATAAAAAAACATCATTACTTTTCATACATTTGATTATCCGAATGCCTATCGACAACAATTAGTCTGGTTAATCGAGTTTCTACTGTATCTCTAAATTTGTACTAACAGCGACAAATTTCGAGTGAAATTCATTTTTCTTATTGTATACAGTACTCGAATGGTTTTCGATTTGTGTACCCTTGCAATGCAAGTCTGGCGCTTAATCATTTTGACTACTCACTATGCTCGGTATAAACTTTACATATTTAACTCCTTCGACTCGGATGCCGCCTCTCCGGCGACGAAATACATATAAATCTCGCAATTCACGAGTGAAAAGGGTTAAAAACAAATGCAATCTTAAAAATCAATCAGAGTTTTTTTTTGATTCACTCTAATCACTTTATCTTACTTTTCCTAAAACAATCAATAATTTACCTGTCGTATGAAATTTTTCGACATAACTTTCACGTTCGATCAAAGTAAAACGTAAAGCGAAATAGCGCTAAACGGGGAAATCTTAACACATTTACAGCCAACCTTGTGTTGCCCGTACTTCTCCCTGTGCTAAACTTCTTATTCGTTTAATATAAAATAAAACCATTTCTGAACATGTTAAAGGGGCGTCCATTAATCACGTGAAGTTTTTAGGGGGAGAAAGGGTTTTACAAAAAAAAATCACGAAATATCATGTTGAATTAAAAAAAAATCCAAACATTTTCAAAAAAAAATCAAATATTTAAAAAAAATCTCGTAACTAAAAATACACATAAAACTTAGTCAGGGAGGGAGGTAATTTTGAATATCACCACGTATCACCAAGGAGGAGGAAAGGTCCAAAAATCCTTTAAAAAAAATCGATCACGTGATTAATGGACAGGGGGCGACCCCCACCAAACATCAGGTGTATTTTTAGTTACGAGAAAAATTGTACATTTTTTTATTTTTTTTTTAATTTTTAGATTTTTTTTAATTTCAGGTAAAAAAATATCTTCCTATACCCTTTCCTCCCCCACGTGATATTTCGTGATTTTTTATCTCCCTAAAAACTTCACGTGATTAATGAACGCCACCTAACTAGGAATTAAAAAATTGTATCAAAATGGAATGGAATTTCAATTCAAACATTTTATTGAAAACACTATTTTAAAATGCAAGGAAAGCAAACGGTCTCACGGTCAACATATGAGTACGCACCAGTGAATGTGTTAACATGCAAATAATGGGGTTAGAGAAAGATGTATAGAAAATTGAAAAAAAAAAAAAAAAAAAAGTAGAAAAAACACAATCTGCTTACCAAACAGGCAATAAGTGGTTAATATGGTAATCATCTATAACATTTTCCAATCATGCTTTCAAATTCTTGTCAAAAATCTGTATTATTTTCCACTAGCTGCAGTTTCTTCAACTATTTTATCTAGAATTTCACCCATCCGCAAGCTAAAATAAGAGACGACCCTAAACCAAAACTGCTCTAAGCAATGTAGCGTTGAGTGGGGTATTATTATATTGTGGTACTTCAACAAATCATACCTAAACATAGCATTTTATTCAATTTCATTAATAACATGGTTCATATATATTTGATAGGTTTATTTAGCAAAATTTATATCTAAAATATAAGACAATCAATAATATATAGCTAAATTTTAATACACGGGTTAGAGGTTATAACACTCAGTCGCCAAACAAGTTATGCACATACAGGCACACATATTCTATTATAAAATCCCTTTTACATCATATACGTAAAACGCAAATATATATTTCCATTTGAAGCAATTTATGATTTTGATTATGGCTAGTCGACATTAAAATTACAGTATATAATACAGATTCTAGATGCTATTCATTATTTGCTCTTAAACGCAAAAGTACTAAAACAATATTTACAATTAAATCTGTCCAACAAATTTATAAGACAGGACTCCGTCAAAAATTTTGCACTTATGATAGTCAAACAATTACAAATTAGTTGACTTGTTATCAACAAACTCTTGTATTGTGTTGAATATAAAGAATGTTATAAAATTCTCATATTAGATTAATAGCTGTAATCTTGATTAAACAATACAAATTTTACAACATACAGTTTCTCTTATTTGTAATGTATGTTCTGTCATTAGTATAGAAATAATTCAATTTAACCATAAAATTCTTATTCATAATCGTAAAAAATCCATTGATAAAAATCAATCATATAATTTTAAAACTTAATTTTATATCAATTGCTTTACATTTAAAAAAAATTTAAAACTTAAAGCCATTGGAATTTAATTTAATTTCGTCGACGTCGCAACATTTAAAAAATTAGACTAACAATTTTTGCCAAATAATAAAAAATAAATCAATATTATAATTTCACATTAAATCATAAAAAATAATGGTAACAAAATTATATTTTTGACAATTTCTATTGCATATATATAATTTAAGTAATAAACCTAATGTTTTAACTTGTTAACAGGGCGATATTGATTTCTTTCACCATTTTAACTCTGTGAAGCATTTTTTGCAGCGGTTCTTTTCCTAAAGCCATTGTCGAATACCAGACAGGACTGTCAGGCACACAAGACCTTTCTGGCAACAAATAAAATACATCATTTCTGGTCTTCACACTTTCAGGGCTAAAAAGAAATGAAATTGATTTCGTTGTTGTATCACATGATACTAAAACATTAGATACTTTTAGTTACCATTTAGATAAATAAAATTCATAAAGTTTTACTGGACATCGAAGTGGATTTTCTTCATTTTCTTGTTGTTCATAAACTTTCTTTTTGCGAGAGTTAGCATCTAATAATAATAAGATAATTAATAATATAAACTATTTAAAAAAACTAATGACAAACATGAAGTATTTAAGAGAATATTCTGGTCTAGTAATGTTACAAAATCAATTTTGTTTTTTTATTTATATATATTTTTTCAAAGTTTAACTATTCAAGAATATGTGTATAAGAGGATTTTATTTTTTTTTCGGATTTTTTTCTGACCTCTGACCAGAATACCTCCTTAACTAAGAAAAAATTCATTACTAAGAGATTGCCACAAAGAACTTAATAGTATACCTAATGCTGATTGAGGTGGGTAGAATCTTAGTAACACATTGCGAGAACCAGGAACTTTAGTTGCACCAGGTTGATTAGGATTACGCTTCCAATGTTTCATAATATGAGAAAATGACAACTGCATATGTTCTTCTACAGTCTGTTAATGAAAATTTTAGATTACAATGAATGTTATAAATATATAAAAAATAATTTACAAACCCCATGCATTTATATACAACAAAAGTATTTTTATACTTACTACTAAATTGAAATGTTTAGTGTTAAAGAACATAAGTGTACTAAGCAACACGTGCGGTGAATGAGCACCAAGTTGTTTAGATTCCCATAAGTGCTCCTCCTCAACTCTAGTGACAATATATTCTGAAAATATGTTTTAATTAGTCTTATCAATTCCTAAGTTTTATATTCATACATCAGACTTACGTGAATCATTATATAAAACAGAAAACTTTTTAGCAACTTCATCTAAACATTCAGTGAACTTCTCATAATATGCATCAGTGAAAATATTATCTATTCTTCCATTTTCAAAGAGATATTGTTGAATACCTATTTAAGAAATTATTTTCATTATTTTATCATCTTTGTTTATATATGTAGGGGGAAAACAGACAACATGGTATATATGAACAAAATGACACGGCGGCCTTATTTAAAAATTGGCTAAACCAAAAATGACTAAATGGCATTGTGTCTTAGGCAAATTGCTGTAACTTCCCGTAACAAAAATTAAATTTTTTAAACAAGATTAAAATATTTTTTAAACATTGATTGAATTTGATTTTTGATTTTGAAAAAAAATTTACTTTTTTGGAAAAAAAATGTTTTCTTTAATTTTGAAATATTTGAGAAATTTTGAACTTTTCTCAAAGCAATCGCACTGCTTTAGCTACATAGAGACGAAATATCGAAGCGCGTAAACGCCGCGTCGCCGACTAACGGCAGACGATGTTACGGAACTCATAGAAATTATATACATATTATTTAAATCTGCATAAAATATCTGATAATTTGATGTGCCTATGTCTAATGATCATTTTTGACCGCCAAATGGCATTTTTTTACTTTTTTTTACTAGATCTCCGAAACCGCTAACCTGCCTCTTCCCAAAAATTTAAACAGCTCTTCACAATGTTTGAAGAGAATTCACAATTCTAGACATTTTCAAATAAAAATAAAATTGGTCATCCTGTCAATACGAGTAAAATGTTTTTTTATGAGTCTCCTTATCAATACAAATCGAATGTTTTTTTTTAATTATTCAAATCGGTTGATCGATGTTCCCGAAATCGTCGACGAACATTTGTATCCGCACACACACACACATACATACATCAATTTTTTCTAATTATTTTAATTAATATAATTAATTAAAGGACTGTTAGTAGGTGGTCAATGAATCAAAAATGACTAAAAACGATTGAAACTGATTATAATATAATTAAATAAATAAATGTCATTAAAAAACGAAACACCATGTCACTTTGTCCGTACTTCCCCTATATCAAAATTTACCTAAAACCAGATAATAGATTGTATCTGGAGCATATTCACTGCCGTTTGGTTTACGAACTTCTTTGACAAACAAACACAAAGAGTAATTTAATTCATCAGCGGTCAATTGAAGAATCTCTGACTTAAAAGGTTTACGCCTTATAGAACTTTTCTCCAAATCAGCATTCTTAGTCATCACCCACTGTTTCCAAGCATTGACACCAAATGTATACTGTTAAGAATGTGAATAGTTACTTTTTTGTATTATTTACAGCATACTATGATCTCTTCATTGCTTTCAAATACTTATATCATGTTTTCAAAATTTGTAATACAAAACATATTTATTACTACCTTTAGGCACATATTTGCATCTGGTTTTTCAGTGGGTTCTCTAGGAGGTTCTGGTTGAGTGGGTGGTTGCATCATTGGCAGACCGTCAGTGTTGCTTACTCGGCGATTACGCTTATTAACACCCAAGCTAATGGAAATAAATTATTATAATTACCTTACTACAATAAATAGAAATTTAATGTATCTTTTAACACTTTCGACTCGGGAGTCGGACTGCCAGTCGGTACGCTGCGCTCGGAATATTATAGTGCTATACTTATCTCTCAACTCGGATTTTTTTTTGTATCAGATTTTTTCAAAATGTGGTAATATTGCTTTTAAATACAGTTATTATGATAATAAAATAGAAAATTTTGAAAATTAAAAAAAATTGCACTCAAAACCATGCTATATTGTTTAAAAAATCATTTCTTCACAGATCTTTATTAGAATTATGGGGATCATGAGCTAATAAATTAATTTTGTTATATATTTATTTATAAAATTAATAAATCAATCAATAAATGAATGTAATAGTAAATTAATTTTTTAAAAATAAAAAAAAATTAAATGTAAGTTTAGTTTGCGAAGAGTCGTCGCCGACACGATTTGCCGCCGGAGCGGCGGCATCCGAGCTTAACGGTAAAACATATCATGCCGCCGGAGCGGCGGCATCCGAGCACAACGGTAAAATGACTATGCCGCCGGAGCGGCGGCATCCGAGTCGAAAGGGTTAAAAGAGATTTTTGGTCTAGAGGCATATATTTTATGTGATTTTTGAAAGGCATTAAAAAAAAATTAGTGGTGTATGGCATCGTGCCTTAAGGCAAATAGCTGGAACTTCTTGTACCAAAAGTTTTTTTTTTTAATAATTAAATTTTGTTTTAATCTTTGAAAAAATTTAATTTTTGAGAAATTTTTAATTTTTGAAAAAAAATTAACTTTCTTGGAAAAAAAAACTTTGAAAAAATGTGTTTTTTTATTTAAATTTTTTTTAAATATTTTGAACTTTTTTCCAAAGCAATTGCACTGCTTTAGCTGCATAAAGACGAATTATGAAAGCGCGTAAGCGCCGCATCACAGTCTAACAGACAAACGATGTTACGGAACCCATAGAAATGTAAACAAAATTAATACACATTATTAAGACCTGACTAGACCTGCCTTCCCAAAAATTTAATCAGTTCTTCATCTTATCAATACAAGTGAAATTTTTTTTTTGAATTATTAAAATCGAACGCTCCGTTCTCTTAAAAACTGAGGTACCGTATTTGGCACGTGCTATGGAAACAGAAGAGGTCAAACAGCTATATCTCCGAAATTATTTACTTGAAAAATCTGTTTGTACACATATTCTTAAATAGTTTCGTTTTTTATAGAAAACTTTTCGTTTTCTTAAAATTTCTAGACTAAATATCCTCTTAATCGACACAATTAATACAGGTCAAAAAAAGAGAGAAATTTTTAGTATTACACTTGCTATTTAATCAATATTTTTTAACTTCCCGTAGGGTAAGTTATAGTAATCGCAAAAAAATCGAAAATGAAAATTTTTATATATCTTTACGTTTCAGAGGTTTCTGAATATTTTGGCATACCTTAGAAAAAATGGATGTATGTGTGTGTGCGTGTGTGTGTGTGTGTGTGCGTGCGTGTGCGTAGTATGTATGTGTGTGCGGATACAAATTTTCGTCGATGATTTCCGGAACACGGATGAAGCAATTTGAATAATTTAAAAAACATTCGATCCGTATTGATAAGGAGACGTGCTGATTAGTTTTTGGCGGAGGTAGGTCTAGCCGTTCCGAAGATATGGGGCAAAAAGTGCCAAAAACGGTACCTCAGTTTTTAATAGAACGGAGCGTCCGATTTTAATAATTCAAAAAACATTTTACTTGTATTGACAAGATGAAGATTTGATCGAATTTTTATAAGGGCAGGTTTAGCGGTTTCGGAGATATAACGAAAAAAGTAAAAAAAAGCCATTTGGCGATCAAAAATTATCATTAGACATATGCACATCAAATTATCAGATATTTTATATAGATTTTAACAATAAGTATAAATTTTGTTTACATTCCTATGGGTTCCGTACCAATGTTTACCCGTTAGACAGCGACGCGGCGCTTACGCGCTTTATATTTTGTCTCTATGCATTTAAAGCAGTACGATTGCTTTGAAAAAAAGTTCAGATCTTCCAACATATGTCAAAATAAAGAAAATATTTTTTTTTTCAAAAAAAAAGATTAAAAAAAAAAAATTTAAATAAAATTTTTTTTTTCAAAAAAAAGTAATTTTTTGTCAAATTTATAGTTTCTCAAAAATCTTATTTTTTCAAAGTAAATTTTTTTCAAAAATGTTAATCGTTTTTAAAAAAATAATAATTTTTGGTACGGGAAGTTCCAGCAATTTGCCTTAAGGCACAATGCCCTAATTGCCTTAAGACAGAATTCCACTTACAGCTAGTTATATCAATTATTACTGATCCCTTACTTGTTACCCTGTGGTCGATTAGGTCGTTTTCTCCCACGCATAGCGGCTCTTTGTTGTTCCATCATAAGCATATGATGATGATGCATTGGATTCGGGTCATCAACTCCTTCTTCATTAGACATTGGAGGATGGGAGCTTGGAGTAATTGTACTGGCCGTCATCGCAGATTCTAAATCCACAGCTGGTTCATCATATTCCGATGCCATTTTCAAGGCCATTTGTAGCATATCTTCACCTAAAAATATAAACGAAGACATTAAGAAATAGTAACAAAATTATTTTAATTAAGACTATAAATTAATAGTGATTGTATGGTTATATATTGAGTTAGCATTATTTGCTTTTTGCACATTTACAAAATATTATGTACTTTTATAGCTATGGGTCTGAAGAATAGGGCCATGTCACTTGAAATAAGGCGTGAAACTAGTGGTGTACGGTATCGTGCCTTAAGGCAAATAACTGGAACTTCCCGTACCAAAAATTAATTTATTTAAAAAAGATTAAAATTTCTTTTAAACTTTGAAAAAAATAGATTTTTGATGAATTTTAGATTTTTGAAAAGAATTGGCTTTTTTGAAAAGACTTTAAAAAAATGTTTTCTTTATTTTGAAATATTTTAGAAATTTTGAACTTTTTTTTCAAAGCAATCGCACTACTTTAACTGCATAGAAACGAAATACCGAAGCGCGTAAGCGCACGTCGCCGTCTAACGGACAAGCGATGTTAGGAACCCATAGAAATGTAAATAAAATTTATACATATTATTATAATGAAATTTTTTAACTTATTTTTATTGAGAGTCCTTAACCGCTGGACCTGCCTTCCCAACAATTGAATCAGCTCTTCATCATGTCACTACAAGTAAAATGTTTTTTAAATTAATCGGACGCTCCGTTCTCTTAAAAACCGAGTTACCGTTTTCGACACTTTTTGCCCCGTATCTTCGGAACAGCTATACCTGCCTTCGCCAAAAACTAATCAGCACGTCTTCTTATCGAAACGAATCGAATGTTTTTTAAATTATTCAAATCGGTTGATCGGTGTTCCCGAAATCATCGACGAAAATTTGTATTCGCACGCACACATTCATATACATACACATACACATACAGACACACACATCCATATTATCTAAGGTATGCTAGAATGTTCAGAAACCTTTAAAACGTAAAAACATATAAAAATTTTCGATTTTTTTGCGATTACTATAACTTACTCTACGGAAAGTTAAAAAGTAACAATTTCATATAATATAAGATAATTACAGCACTTTAAATACTCACCAAAAGTGTTACTAGTTTCCATTCCTTCTGGACTAAATCCATCATCTTCAGGTGCATCGTCTTCAGAATCCGAATCACTCTCACTTCTCTTTTTCTCTCCAGCCACCATTTCAGCCATCATCAGCAACTCTGCTTCGAATGGATCAGTTGGCATTTTCTCATGGATTTTTTTAATTTCTTTCATGATGCCATTTGCAGAATTTCTAGTTGTTGGAATGAACACTGGGACTGGAATTGGCAAAGGTATGGGTACTGGCACAGGATAAGGCATAGAGTACATATTCAAAGGAGTTGGAACATATATAGGAACTGGTACCGGTATTAAAATTCTTTTCTGCAAACTATCATCTGTCTGGCATTCCTTGTTAATGGTTTGCTGTTTGCAAGAAGTGCCTTTTGATGCGGTCATTGGTTTACACATTGTAGACATGTTCGAAATAGGCTTAGGACGTGGAGGTTTCACAATTAATTGTGTCTTAAATTGTGGCTTGGGAGGTGGTGTTGGTGCCGGAGCGGGAGCAGGAGGTGGAGCTTGTTGAACAATTTGAGCTTGTTTATGAGTACTTTTAACTGAACCACGAGTGTTATGTGCATTGACAGGAGTGCCTAGAGATCGAACTTTTGAAATTATAGGAGTTTCAAATGACTTTGACGCAGCTGAAGCTTTCGTACCAACTCCTAAATAGTTTTTTTAAATATATTTTGTTCTTTTGCACATTTTTATTTAAAATAAATATATATACAATACCTTTTGTTTGGCGTGTTATGTTGTATGTTCGTTTGGGAGCACCAGTAGGCACGGGCGCACCCTTAATTGAAGTCGCAGGAGGTGTCTTATGCTGCTCGCTTCCTAATGTTATTGGATTTTTAGAATATTGTCCTTGAAAAGACATAACACATTGATATGTGCAAAAGTTCCTTATTGTAGCATCAGACATAGTTAAATGATATTGAGCTTGTGATAAAGACTTGCAATGATCACATTTTATTCTAAAAAAAGATATAAATATTATATTTAAATAATAATTTAAGAAGTTCAGCATAAATAAATCAAACCTTCTCATGGAAACAGCATTTACCGACACTTGATAAAGTGTCAAACAATTCAAAGAGCACATCATAATTTTTTGCCCTGAACTTAAATTTCGTCTAATCATGTCATAGTTGTACTTTTTGACTTTACACCAATTGCATGGAACTATCTGTCTATTAGACAGAATGAAAACGTTCATACATGTTTTTGAACAAAAAGTATGAGGGGCTGCATCATCATATATAGTATAGTGTTCTGATGACTTTCGTTCATAATATTTCTTACACATATCACATTGATCTGCAACGTAATTTTAGTGTTAGTACTATGGTTTTACAGAAACCATACTACAAAAAAAAATTACAGAAAGTATTTTACTGTTGAAAGTATTTAATTCTGGTCAAAATGGGCCTTGTATATGGAAACAATTAAAAAATTATACAAATTAATGAAATATTTTTACAAACTAAAGCCAAAATTTCTAAATTTTAAACTTATAAAAATAAATTAATAGTCATTGTTTTTAAGGGGGGAACCTGCTTTAGAGGTTTAGAAAATCGTTTTTTTTTATTGCAAAAATGTCTTTCAAAACTAGCCAAGAATATATCTCTAAAATTTCATAAACAAGTTCAAGTAATCATCGGAATTACGGAAGAAATAGTGAGCAAGCGTCAACCATGTATACAAGCGGAACGAAAACTTCGAATTGGCGGAAAATACAGGAAAAAAACTAAACGTCCTATCGAAACGAGAAAAAATTCATTGTATTCAGGATTAAATTCTATTCTAGTTGAACCTAAAAAAAACTTAAAAAAAAGTTATCCCTAAAAATTACTGAAAAAAGGCGATTTTTTTAAGCCTCTATCTAAAGCAGGCTCTCCCCTTAATATAAAGACAAATTGAAAAATAATTCATGAAAAATGAAGTAATGAATATAATCAAGAAATAAATTATGAAATACAAAAAAGTGGTGAATACAATGAAGATATTAAATGATATGAATGATAATGAAGATACTGAAGAATGGCTGGAGATAGTTGCATCAACTACATAAATGGTAAAATACCTGCACAAATTTCACACGTAGATATGATCTTTCTTTCTTCGTTCTTCAAAATAATTAATAGTTACTATACAAGGATAAAATGGTACAAACTTTTAATAATTGTCACGTTGTAATAATTTTCATGTAGTATTATTTTACGAAATACCCGAGGCGATTTTGTTTCGAAAATATCTAAACTTCATGACGGCCAGTATGGCCAAGACGCGCATGCTTTGTAAAAACTATGTTATTTTTTAATATAATTAGTCAAGTATGTAAAAGCAAATGGAAAATTATATAATGAATCATAAAAATATTCATAAGCCTACACACAAATTTCTAAATTTTATATTATCAAAAATAAATTAATGTCATACTTTTTAACATAAAAACAAACAATTTGAAATAAAAATATGAAGAAAAAAGTAATGAAAGCGATAAAGATAATGCTATAAAGACAAGCATGTTAATGAAATAACATAAGAATAAATAAATAATATATATATATATATATATATATATATATATGTGTGTGTGTGTGTGTGTGTGCGTGTAAACAGTAGAATAAATTATGAATAAATAAATAAATACATAAATAAAATATCGCTAATCCAACACTTCAATAATGGTCAACTTTTTGAAAATCAAAAAGTTTTTCCGCGATTTCCAATATCTTATGATTTTTTCACTATAATCCAGTAATCGAAACATTCCACTAATCTGACATCCTCTGGTTTTTAATAGAGTTGGATTAGCGAGATTTTTGCATCAAACATGTACTAAAACACCTGCACAAATTTCATACATACACGCTAGTATTGTTTTTCTTATTCCTTCAAATAATTAATAAACACTATACAAAAATAGAAGAAAGTAATAATTTTCACGTCGTATCAGAAAAAGATCTAACTTTAAAAAATACGCGCACATACTTTAAAAAAACAATTGATAAATGTGATTTTTTATACAATTAACCTAGTATTGAACATTTATGTAACAAATAAAAATTTATCCAAAATATACACAAAAAGTATCTATTTAATAATAAGACTTGTTTACAGTAGATAACGCTTGATAAAATTAAATAGTTTTTAGCTTTTTCATATGCTCAAAAATATTGACTGATATTCAGCAAACAGCATTGATAAAAAAAATTATGTAATTATTATATAAAAAGCTATAGGTATATAAAAAAACTATTTATATTTTTGGATTTTGCTATAATAACACCCTAATTTTTTTATCAGGTATTAAAGTAAATATATCCATAAACTTTGAGGTCAATTTTTAGTTCTGTACTACATTTAGACTGCACAATGTTTTGAATGTACATAAATGTTTTTAGGTTTGTGTTAAAACGGCCTGAAAAAAATTAAAACAAGATCTTGGACACAATTATGTCTATCTTTCTCTAATAGTGTGTAGTTTTAGCAGTTCTGGCCAAAAAAGGGTCGAATAATAATTGTATTTTATAGAAAAAATATTATAGTTAAGCACCACAATGAATTAGTAAATAAATTTTCACTATGATTGGATCTGCAGTTTTTGAATACATAGAAAACAGATACACAAACATACATTCAATTTTATATAATGTGGATTTTATATAAATATTTATATACAAATTCATAATACATACCAGGAAAAATTTTATTAACAAACTTAAATGCTGAGAAACATGGAACAGAGCATAATTTATGATCAAATCCATCAATGAAGACTTCAACTTTTATAACTTTATCTTTATTGCACACAGCACACTGGCTGACAGTATTCATTGGCGGGCAGTTTTTGCTCATTTGATCGAATTTCTCCATGCACATCTGAAAAAAAAAAAAACATTTAAAATATACTGATAATTAAATATTATAAGTAAACTTAAAAATTTCATATAAAAATACCTGTGTGCAAAAATCTTTGAATTGGCCTTTATCGCCAACTGGAGCTAAAAATCCCTCTGAACCTCCTGAAATATCTTTTTGACAATAAGAACAGACTTTTAATCCTTTTTTAAATTCTTCTAAACAACTAGAACTGCAAAACTGACGAACATCATATCCAAATCGCACACAATATTTTCCTAAAGATGTAGTGTGAACTCCAACTTTGCAGTTAGAACAATTTGAATAAGATGTGTTCTGATATTTACCTATAGATGCAATATAAATAATATAATAACTAAAAATTTAATTTATAAAAGAATTTACAAAAAACACTTGAATAAAGCATACTTAAGCAATCCTCATTACAAAAATCCATAGTTTCCCAACTTAAATTTTTCTCATCTCCTGTAATAATTTCTTCACACATAGTACATTTTCTATTAAAGCTTTTGTCTCTATCTTGTTTAGCTGCTTCAGCAGCCTCTTCTGTTCTTGTACGTATTTTTGGTCCAATATTTATATCTCTGACAGAAACATTTAATAATCTAGGCATTTCTTTGACTCTAAATAGTTTACGAACTTTCACACGATATTTGTCGGGATATTCCTCTTGCAGTTTAGTTAAGCATTCATCATCACAGACATACATATCTTCACCATGTGCACTGAATTGAAATTTAGATTTTTTAGTTTCTTGACAATAAAAACACTGATGATCACTTGGTGTTATTTCTTGTACAAAGACTTTTCTATAACGTATAACAAAGTTGCCAAATTCTTCATCTGCTCTATACTTTTTCAAACAATTAGTATCACACAAAAATGCTGCTTCCTTTAAAATCTCATATTGACAAGTTTTGGTAAGTGAGCATTGTGTGCATGAATGCTCAGAACCAACAACTTCTTTAATGATCATTTTTTTAACAACAATATCATATTGATCATTAGCTTTTTTATATTTCAAAACACACGTTTTTTGACACAAAAATTTTACGGACCCATCAACCAACATATGAAATTTACACAGTGTTATTTGTGAGCACTGTGCACATGTTTGTTCACTTATGGTTGTTCGCTTTATAGTATTTTCTTTTAATGGTTCTGTAACATCATTCTCTGTGTCTGTAATATCAATGGTTTCATTTTCGACATCTTTGTCATCATGTTCTTTTAATGGCTCATCACCTTGTATTTCCATTTTACTATCATCCGTTGCAGTATCATTGACTACCTCATCACCATCAATTGATTTCTCTGCATTGTTTGACATTGATGCTTCATCAGGTTTGTTGGAATCACCACCTAGAAACATGAAATAAAATTTAAAGAAATAACTTGATTGCAATATAATATAATATATTACATATAAATGTAATAATATTCATAGCATTTACCTTCAATCAAATTATCAAAAGTTGTTATTGAATCCTGTGCTTCTTTATTCGCAGCTTCCTTCGCCAAACTTTCTTTGGCTAAAATAGCTCTTTCTTTATCAGCTTCAGAAATCTCCCTTTCGGTATCCGGAAGAAGACATACTTCCTCATCCACTCCTTTGCTAGCTTCCACATCTTGAACTTCCTCTGTTTCTTCACTCACGGAATCAACTTGCATTTCCTCAGCTGTTTCCTTTTCTGACAGATCATCCATAGTGGTGTCATGATCATTAGATTCATCAGGTTTATAAAATGAATTTGATTCTTTATTTTGTTTATCTGAACTTCATCAATATCCATAGCCTCATTTACTACTTGATCAAAAGGATCTTCTTCTTTATCCTGTTAAAAATAAACCATCAATTAAAAATAAAATTTAAAATTTTATGAATTGTTATTGCAATTGACATACATACCTCTTCATTACTACTCTTTTCGATGCTGTCTTGTTTTTCATCAGCTGGCTCATGTTCCTTAATATCAGAGCATTCAAAATCAGGACTTACTTCATTATCATCAGTTTGTTTTTTATCTTCAATGTCATTATTATCAATAATGTTTTCAGAAATATCTGTGTCTATTGATGCTAATATTGTACCATTTTCATCATCTTTATCACTCTTCTCCAAATTTTCATGTTCAATATTATTTACATCTTTGTCACTTACAGCAATGCCTTCCTCATTGGTTTTTGATGAGAATTCATCGTTTATTTCATTTTCATTTTTACATTCAATAGGACACATAGCATTGTCTATATTCAATGCATTTTTTTTGACACAAAAATTTTGATTATCATTAACTTCGTCATTTTTGATTTCTGTTTGAACATCAGAGAGTTCTTTCATGTTATTTTCACCAGCATTCTTAATATTATTATCTTCCATCGTTTCATTTTTACTTTCAAAATATGTTTCTAAATTTTCGGCATTTTGTTTATTGTTATCTAATAATTCACCTTCTATTTTTGCATTATCACTACTAGTATCAGAATTCAATTCAACATTACTTTCATTATTTTCTAAATTTAGTGTCAATGTATCTGCAAAGTAATTTGTGTAAGAAATATATTATAATAATATTTGTGTAATAATTAAAAACTGTAAATTAGGTAAAATTACCATTTGGTTCTTCCTTAAATTCGGGATCTAAAATTTTAGATTCACTTTCATTCGAATCTTCACATAATTTTTCATTTGTGCAAGTATCTTCGACTGGTGTTTTATCTGAAATTGATTCAATTCAATTCAATTTTATGATGGAATTATATAATAAATGATATGAAATGTTGTAATAATCATATCGTATGTAGAATATATATATATAGAAATATATATATAGAAAAAATCAAGTGTTTTTAACAAAAAATATTTGTGATATGGATATATAAATTATTACAGGTAAATAATTTTTGCTTCTCAATTTTATATAAAAACTTTTTTAGTTAATTTTTATTACTCTTTACACTGGTACATAATCCATTCCTTTATAATTTTTCTAAATAATCTGTAATGACCATCGTTAATTAATGTTAATCAATAATTTTAAAAAACATTGTATTTGACAGAATAAACCTGATGATGGAACGTATCTAGTTCCGAAACGTCGTTATTAAACATCTTCAAAAAACAAATTGTTTTTTATTATTGGATTTACTGTTCGGAAAAGAAACAATCAATATATTGAAAAAATCCAGGACTTATCTAATGAATATATATATATATATATATATATATATATATATATATATATATATATATATATATATATATATATATAAATTGAAAAGTTTTTTCAGATGGCAAAATATTATAATAAAGTTGTTCTTGGGCATCCATGCATTAATTGAAAATATTTAATTGAAGTAAAATGTTTTATTTTCAAAAAAAAAAAATATATATATATATATATATATATATATACAAAAAGTTTTATCATGTTTGTTTTTCAACAATAATAATTCAATAATTCATAGTTGCAAAATATTCATAAAATATAAAATTTAAGCAAAATGAATATTATTGTGATCACATAAAATATCGAACAAGATAATACAAAGAAAATGTTGTCAAATGAGCATATATTTCTTCACAACATATCAGTAGTTTTACAGATTTATTTTAAGAATTTCATACCAAATGCTTTTGCAAAGACAAATTGGACATACTTAAGTAAACTCTAATTATTTATTTACCTCGACCAAGACTATCATCAGGAATTTCATTACTATCATCACGGTTTTCATTCGATTTGTCATTAGCTTCAGCAACATTTTCAACATAGGATTTTACTGGTATTTCATTGCTATCATCAGGGATTTCATTGCATTTATCATTAATTGCAGCAACATTTGATTCACAGGATTCTACAACTTCATTATTTTTCTCTTCATAATTATTAATTTCTAAATCCGATGATTCTGTCTTTGTTTCAGGCGAATGTTTGCTATTTGGCATAAGATCATTGGGCACAGAATCTACACTGTTATTATCCAACTTTTGGCAAATTGCATCACTATCCACTTCAGAATTAGAGATATTTACATTTGAATCTTTTATACTATCAGTAGAATTAGTTTTTAGTTCATCTGACATCTCTTCCTGAGATGGGTTATCTGAAGGAGCAACCCCTTCAGTAATAGGTTGCTCGTCCATGCTTTAGTTAAGATAATCGATTTCAGTCAATTTATTATGTTTTTAGTTGCATTACTGACTGTAGCAACTATGTTTTTCAAATTTAATGTTTTCCATAAAGCTAAACATACTAAAGGCTACGCTTGATAAACGTTCTTTAGGGTTCAATTATTTCATTAGATATTTCACTCAGGAATGTAAAATACTACGCCAGTTGAGAATTGCATAAACTTTTGGCATCCTTATAATTATCCACACGCAGTTGTCAAATAAAACAAAACGTATCTAAACAAAATCACTGCATTCTAACAACAGTTTAAACAGTTGCACTAAATCCTGCACTAAAATCTAAATATGGATATACGAAACGTCAGAATAGCGTATTGGCTATCGCGAGTTGAGCTTCAATAAATTTTAAGGTATATACTTTTTTTAATAAATTATTTTGTAAGAGTTTTTCCAAAAAGCATAACAATCGCGCACCATTTTGATACTACGGATTGCAGCGCGGCATAATGGAGATAGACATGAAGTTCGTCACTTCCAAGTGTAAACATGCGAATACTCTCCCATAAAAGCTGTTTATGCCCTCTATGCTCTGTGCTCTGTGGAGCAATTTACAAACTAACGTCGTTCGTCGTTCAATATCCTCGAATTCGACACTATGGTGCATGGCATCATGCCTTAAGGCAGCGGTTCCCAACCTGTGTGGCGCGCTCCCTCAGGGAGGGTCCGGCTGTTCTAAGGGGGCCGCGTACATCTATTTTCAGAACACTATTTTTCGAAATAATCCAACATTGTTGAGATGATATAAAAAAAAAACTAGTGGTGTATGGCATCGTGCTTCAAGGCAAATTGCTGGAACTTCCCGTACCGTAAGGAAATGTTCGAGGAATATTAAATGTTTTCAAATCGATTATAATAAATACTGTAACATTGTCTAATATTTATAAGAGTTATATAATCTGAATTGCAAAGTTGAAATTATTTGTTTGAAGTATATTAAAACAGAATTAAAATTAAAATCTGAATTATTTTCGATATAAAAAAAAGGTTTTAAAATTGCTTTTCCTAAAGCAATTATTTGTTGAAACACGCAGAAAGTTCTATGAATCATTCAAATCGGACGATTAGTTCTCTCTAAAACTACTATTTTTTGAGCATTTAGCTCTGTATCTTCAAAGTGACTGAACCTGCCTTTGCCAAAAACTAATCACCGCTTCTCCCAATCATTAAAAATTGAATGTTTTTTAGATCATTCAAATCGGATACTCCGTTCTCTCAAAAACTCGATTTGTATTTTCTGCACTTTTTGCTCCGTATCTCCGTAACGGCTAGACCTGCCTTTGCCAAAAACTAATTAGCTAGTCACCTTATCAATGCGAATCGAATGTTTTTTAAATTATTCAAATCAATTGACCTGTGTTCCCGAAATCGTCGACAAAAAATTTGTATCCGCACACGCACACACACATACATTCATACTCGCACACGCACAAATATCCATTTTTTCCGGTTATGCCAAAGGTATGCCAAAATATTCAGAAACCTTTGAAACGTAAAAATATATAAAAAAAAAAAAATAGATTTTTTTGCGATTACTATAACTTATACTACGGCAAGTTAATAATAAATTCTGTAAAGATATTTCGTGATAAGGCTTATCTCATTTCACAAATTAATATTTTCTCTATTTATATTAATAAATGAATAAATAAAATGAAATAAAACATCCAATCGATTAACAAGAGAGACTAATGGGCACAAAAGCCAAACTTCAACTCTTTGATATTTTTCACAGATTATTTTGTGGGCATGTTCAATGTTTCGAGGTTTGTTATAATTCGTTCAATTAAATTTATATTAGATTTTTTATACTTCGACTTCTTCTTCAATTATTACTTTATATAAACTTATTATTATATAATATTTATACATATACATATATGTATACATAATTGGCACCATTTAGAAATGTAGTTGAAATAAATCTGTACATTTCAATCTTCAAAAAGGAGACACCGTCATTCAGTAATATAAAGATATTATTAAAGTGAAAGAGTCAAAATTATAGCAAATGTAAAGTAAATAAGACTTAGTTGAAAGATTAGAATAAAGCACTGAAACATTTTTTTTTTACATTTGATACATCAAAAAAATACTCTTGTAAGAATTAATCTTCAAACTATATGGACTTAATTTATGACCTATAAACTTGTACAAATTAGTCAGTTTTGTCTTAATATTTTTTTCTAATTATACATAACAAAATTATTTATAACATCTAATATGCACCATGTCAAATAAAAATAGTGCTTCTACACCTGAAAAAGAGAGTGTTGTACATATTTTTTAGAAAATGCTAATTTAAGATACTTGATTTATGCTTGTTCAAACTGTTGATACAATAATATTACCTAGATTCATATAAATCTCGATGAAAAGCATAACATCCACTGGTTTCTTTCTAAGCACCACATCTTATTTGCATTAAAATTAATTGAACAAATGTGTGTTCAGAGGAAGAAAAAAACAATTTATTGTTCTATAGTAATGTACTTTGTGATTTTTTATTTCACCTCAAAAACTTAGTCAATAATATTCCAAATTATTTGGTCTCGTTCACAGAAAATGAAATTTGTCATATTAATTTATTATATAATTAAAATCTCTTAAATCTAGAATGTGTTTAGATACTTGTGCATACAATATGAATTTATATTTTTGCAAGTCTTGTCTAAAATTTCATGTACAAAAGAGAAAAAATGTTACAAAGCCAACTCTTCTGGTAGGATCTAATAATCTCATATCAGAAAATCTCTACATTTAAAACTTTGCATTGGTGTGAAGCAAAAATAATAAAAAATAATTTAAAGTATGATTACATAAAATACACATATTTATCATTGAAATCAGGACAAAGCAGCATAAAAACATTGCTGTCAAAGGCCCTTAGTATTAATTTTGGTTTTAAAGTAATGTACTCTTTACTTTTCTATGTAGTTAGAAACTTGAAGTACAAGTGCAAAAAATATTGAAACATTTTAAGTTTACTTAATAGATAAAATAAATATCTTTTTAACTCAATCTATACTAATCAGTGATCCTTAACATGTTTCAAAAATATATATGCAAAATATGTAATAAATATAATAAATATTTTTACATAAATTTTGTTGAAATAAGCCTTACAATTAAAATCTTACAAATTTCTCACCACCTTTTGCATTTTGAAATTCCGTTTTTAATTAGCAGTACGAATAAATGCTTTATTTGATGAATTCGTAAACCGTCAAAAATATAGGAAGTGCTTGCTAGGTTCTTGTTCAAAGCATTGCATTAAAGTAAATAAAGCAATAAATATTTAAAGTTAAATTGTACTGCAAATTAAAACTTTAGAGTTTATTATCGAATACATTCAGTATTCATATTTTATTAATCACTCATTTCTTTTTTGCATTTGGGCTTGTTGTTTGAAAGACAGATGAAGCAGACATTAAATTTTCAATATATTGCCCCAGGACTTGATTTTCAGAACGTAATTTAAGATTTTCTTCTTTAACACAATCAACTCGTTGAGAAAGATCTAAAAACAATATTTATAAACCAACATTTATAAATAAATTCATATATAAAATTTTATATAAAATTGCGATTTCAGAAAAAAAAATCTGCATTCTTAGTTTAGCAAATAGTTTCTATCATGATTTTCAAAAATTATTTTATTATTATTTATAACTTTAAATATCTCACCATCCAAAGTATTCTGCAGTTCTAACACTTGTGATATCAATCTAGCCCTCTCTTCTTGTTCATCAACACTACAATCTGGTTCTAAGGAGTGTGGGGGTCCAGGACTAGAGCTCCCTGTAAATGAACTAGGAAGAGAATCCATCGACCTACCATGGCCTAGACCCGAATCATCAGCATCATCAGCAATTATAGCTGAAAAGATTACTTTGTAAAAAATCATATATATATATATATATATATATATATACAAAGAGTCTAAAAAGTAATAGAAAAACAAAAGTTTTTTAAATAACCATTTTTTTATTTATTTACTGTCGACGTTTCAGAACTAGGTAAGTCCATCTTCATAACAACTGTCAAGTTAATATTTAAGCAAACAATATGTTTAAGAAAAGTAAAGATGATGGATGTTTTATATATAAAATGGATAAAATTGTGGAGAAAATAATGTACAGAAATATGGCAATATAATCAAAATGAAAACGATAAAGATAAATGAGTGAAATGAGTTATATAACAAAATATTTAATAAAATAAGAAAGTTTAAGATAGTTTTAAGAAAAGGTTACTGAAAAAACAGAATTAATTACCTGTATGATTGATTATACACTTATACTTTTTCACTAAAAAAGATTTTATCAAAAAAAGTAATTTATGAATTTCTTTTCAGACAAAGAAACAAATTTTGTAATTCAAAATTTCTTTAAATCATGTCTTTTTTGAGTTTGTTATGTGGAACAAAAAGTAATATTCCCTCGATGTTATGAGTCGACTATTGGTAACAAATTGATTATTATTGAACGGATGCATTTTTAAAAAGAAAACACTTGACTTAAAATCTGTGTATATATGTGTGCGAGTTGTTTTTATATATCAGGATGTAAATACTTAAATTATAGATCTTAAATGGATGTCGATTTTAATTATTTGTCAAAAAGTGTAAAAAATGTAAATAAGAATCATGTAACAGGTTGTGATCTGATCTAATGTTAACAGTATTTGAAGTGTTCATAAGTATAAGACAACTTTCCGCAAATAACCTCTTAAAGATGCAATTTTCATGATATAAAATTTTTGGAGTAAAGTTAAACGAGTGGGCATTTTCGACAGAATGTTGTACCAGGGTACTTTTGAAATTTTTTGTTTATGGTATATGTTTTTGTTTATGTTTATTGGGTACATACTATTGTAAACATAGAATTTAAAAATCAAATGTGGACATTATTATCAAAAGTTGTTGAAACTTTGTTTCTTACTCTAAGCGTAAACTTAAAGTGAAAAAATTCATAATAATTATTACAAACAATTCGACAAAAATGTAATTCTATCGTCAGTATATATATAAGCCTTACTCAAATATTCTATGTTACATTAATATTAATCTTTAGTAAACCAATATTTATCACATTTTGTACATAGTCAAATTCCTATGTTGACATACCTTGAGGATCATCATCAGCCAATGGAATATTATCGTCGTGCAATTTAGAACCTATAGTGGACATTTTGTAAATTACAATGACAGATGTATTAAATGCGCCGTTCTCATTAAATACCAACAGTATTTTTTACTATATAAATCAATACAAATTGCACACAATGTTTTAAAAACGATGGGAATTTTAATTCACATAGCATGAAATGACATATCGTTCATGTACGTCAAACAGGCGTCAAGTATTAATGAGGCCTGTGTACCAACATACAGAAAAAAAATCCACATAGGGAAATTCGTGCCTTAGAGCCCGGGCAATTTAAACCTAAAATCAGGGTGAAGATTACTATCATAGGCATTTATTAAAGTCATAATGAATGTACTTTTTGAATATTAGTCAAATTAGAGCGACATCGATTTTTAGCCTAAAAATTTGTCAATGGTCCCCCATTGCGAGAATTGTCGATTTTGTCAGATTGCTATAAAATAAAAACTAGAAGTCGGAGGGGTCTAAAAATTCAGTGGCAATTTATTAAAGTCATATATATATATATATATATAAATATATATAAATATATATATATATATATATATATATATATAACATTTAACCCTCTAACCCGAGTTTTTGATAGAGCCAGTAAAAAAAGTCAGAACAATTTTTTCTAGACTAATTTGACCATAACAAACACTTCTGCATCATTAGATTTTCAATTTGACTTACCGTTTAGCTACCAGGTACAAAAAGGTGAAGATTACTTCAAAGTACCCAGTAAACACGCGATGTGATCTTCTATAATATCGACATCGTTATTATAATGCGGTTATCGAATCTACGCCACAAGAGGATTTTAAACTTGCGTGCGCTTGTGTGTGTTACAATACACGCAAAGCTCGCATTGAGTGGACTCACGCGACATAAACACGCGCCGTAGGGGTTGATGACATCGTTGAATTTCATGTGAGATACATGTCGTGCGCTGGTGTGTGTTAGCACACATGCAAAGCATAATCAATGACGTCACACGGCGTGAAGCAAACGCGTCGTGCGCTGCGTTGTGTGCGTTGTGTGCTGGTGTGTGTGACCATACAAAGAAAGCTTTACATCAGCGCGCCGTGGCCACTGGCTGAACCGACTCAAGCGGTTTGACTGTTCCTTTGACGAAAGCTAAACTAACCGCGTACAAAATGGCGCAATATGTCAGGAATTTGTCATGTATCAAGTTATATTTTCTTTTGTATAATAATTACATTCGTTTAGTTAAGCAACTTGTTTATAGTGATAATTGTAGAAAAGTGTAGAAAAATGACACCGTAAGTATATCATATATTATTTATATAGATATGTAATTACTTCACGATTTTGAATTCCATTTAGTGCATTATATCCTGGGATGAAGAAACGTTATTTTATGTCGATTTCTTTAGATGACAAAGGAGGTAACCAAATAGCATATCTTACAAAATCTGAGGACAATAATAAGGATCGTTTAGCAAGGTTAAAATAATTATTTTACTAAATTAAGACATTAACATATCCATGTGTTCGACATAACCTCACTTCTTAAATCTCTTAAATTAGTCGTTGAGAAAGGTTGAGAAGCGGATCGAGAATGATTGTTTGAATATGTAAGTCACTACAAATATAATAGCTATACAAATATATATAAACAGCAAACACGTATGCCATGTTCATATTTATTTCAGAAGTCGTACAAAATTGGAATGAAACGATGAACAATATACAGATCTTTAGACAGGCTCAAATAATGTATGTTTAGGAGCAACTTGAAGATAATGGAGATTTATCTTCTTAATATGTAAGTTGATTCATATAGAGTTGCTGTATATATATTATTTGGTAACAAATACATTATATTTATAATTGTTTTAGAAAACCTCTAAAATTGGGAACAGTATGTCATATATGCATGAACTTGATTGATGTATTGATGTATAATGAACTGAAGATAGAATGAATTCAATCAGGTTAAAAAAAATGTATGTGCAAAAGCAACTCGAAGACGATTTAGATTTGTCTCCTGAATATGTAAGTTGCTACACATATGGAGTGGTATATATATTATTAGATTCAATAAAACACATTATGTTTCAAATTGTTTTAGAAAACTTCCAAGAAGTACATCATATATGAATATCCTGTATCCTCGCATTTGATGTATTGAACTGGCGATAGAATGAAATCAGTCAGTGTTAAATATGTATGTGTAAAAGCGACTTTAAGATGATCGAAATTTGTACCCTGAACATGTAGGTAGCTACACATATGGTAGCTGTATATATATATTATATTATATACAGTAAATCACATTATGTTTGAATTTGTTTTAGAAAACTTCCAAAATTTGGGGCAGTATGTCATATGTGCATAATCTGTATCCTGGCATTTGATGCAATGAACTGGCGATAGAATGAAATAATGAAAAATAGGCAGGCTGTTTGATGTATAAGGAAGTGGCGATAGAATACTTATGCAACACTTCACACTTCACGCCCCAAAAATAGAATTACGTTCATTAGATATACAACAATTTTCATTAAATATACTGTTATTAATATGTTAAGATTGAATAATTTGTAAATAGTTTTCTAGTATAGTTCATGTTAAAATTTTATAATTTCTAAACTACAATTCTAATTTGTAATATTTAAATATTGTAAAATTTCTTATTATTCACGTAAATAAATGCTTATTCGTACAGAAAAGAATATTAATTGCATTACGTCATCACTTTCAGGTGCTATTACGTCATAACTGAGTCGCCATTTTGTATGACGTCATGACCGAATCGTTTTCATTCGCCAATGACGTCATGACTGGGGTGAACGCCTTACGTCAGACGGTCTTATCATAATAAACAAACATATGTGGGTCAACGTCGATTTTCATGTATCACGAACGCCACGTGCGCCAGAGACCGAACCTCGATAGTTGTTCGATAGTTACATAAATTTGCGGCCGTATCCATTAAATATCGAGGAAAATGAATATGGGAACCGCATGTCACACGACCTAAATAAAATATTGCCACGATGTTGTGGCCATATCGCATGTTTACTGGGTAATCTTGACGGGTTCAGTGAAAAATTTGATACAGCTAGATATTTTTATTCTGTATGGTATTTATTGAAAAAAGTGAATGAAAGAACAATGGAATGTAGTAGAAATTAATTATTTTTTGTTATGATATTCTACGAAACAATTTTTGCCCTTAAAGCAACATAAAGCTATATTACATTTGGAGCAAATGCACATAGTTAGCGCCTTTGTTTTGTTTTGGGCACAGAGTTTGCACGTAACACGTTTTTCTGTCCATTGTGGCCAATGATCCATACAGTCAAAACGAGTGTCGTCCACTGGATGCACCGCACGTCTTCCAACAGGAAAAGAACCTGGAATCACCTCTGGAGTTGATGGTCGAGAATTGCTTGAAGCAAGTCTGACGATGATGGACGACCAGCTTGGCCCTTGAAGTTGTAGTTCACAAGGCCAGCAGCAATATTTTTACGAAATTGTGGCAATGTCAACAATTTTTCGCTGGGGTCATTCTCATCAGGCGAATCGTAAACTTTCTCTCGGTGTATTCGGCGATAGAGTATGTATGCGTTGGTGGCAGCCATGTCAATAAAATGGTACAACAAACGAGTTGCTGCATCACGAGTTTTTGCGCGAATATGATAGCGGCGTGTTAAGCCCATCCATCAAGTCCACGCCGCCCATTGTTATATTCGCTAATGATTTCGGGGCAATCGATGTCAATGCGGCCTTGCTTGCGAACAAATCGGCTGGCTTTTCGTGGTTGTTTGGTTGGATTTGTCAAACTGGTTTGAAATGGTTTCACACCAACATACGTCGATGCCAAACGAACGACTTTGTTGTCTTTCCACAATACAGTAGTCAGATCAACGCCATCACATATTCCTCAGAATATCCTCTTGGTTTATCTTTGATGGCTGTTTCCAAACTCAGCTCACAACCAGGCACTCTGTTCACTCGTATCGCACCAAGACTGAAAATTCCACGAGCGCGCAAATACACCAACAGAGGCAAACTTGTATAAAAGTTGTCGAAGTATACAATGTGATTTGCCATATCCGGGATGGTTTGAGACAATCGCATGACAACATTCGCCGAAGCACCAAGATTTGGATGGCCATCCACGAGTTTGTTGTCTCCAGCGCCATTGTAAACTTCGAACCGATAAGCAAATCCAGATGAGTCACATAGAACGAATAATTTCATGCCCCATTTGTGTGGCTTATTGGGCATATACTGCCGCAAATGGTGCACCATCTTATTGAATTAAAAAAAATCGACCCCAACACGTTTTTCATGTAACAAAAGAGAGATAAACAAGAAAAGGTGCGATAAACGGTAAAAACGCGTTGGGGGAAAAAAATCACTGAATCCGGCAAGATTACTTTGAAGTAACCTCTGTTTTTCCCTTCAAAATACCGAAAAAAAATTTTTTTTCACAACAAAATATATAATAATTGCTAAGGGGATTACTTACCAACAAAATAAAAAAATTCCGATGTCGAAATAATGATTGGTTCAAAAAATATGTGGCACAAAAAACACAATTTTTTTTTTCACTAAATTTGATGCTTCCTTCTCGAAAGCTCACACTATTATGACTATAGAAGCCAAACTATACTTCAAATGATGTTGGTGTCTGAAGAAGAAATGTCAAATAAAGTACGAGGGACAAGTTCATGCTTATTTGCATGTGATTATGTTGTCACAGGGTTTAAATTAAAGCAAAACATGAAGATTACTCCAAAGTAATCTTCCGGGTTAGAGGGTTAATATATGTAAATAAATATATATGAAAAAAATAATATTTTAAACTACTATATAACGGTCAAAATACAAACTATGCAGTTGTAATGAATTACTCATGCTATTACATTATATCTTCGATAAGCAGAAAGAACCTACATACTTGTTTGGCATCGTCAGTGGTTCCTACATCGAAAATGTACATCATTGTATAATTGATGGCTAGTACAAATCCAATTGTGTAAATTATTCAATTAATCTATTATTTGGATATCACACACACACTACACACGACATAGTATCATATAGCTATATAATATACTGGTTTAGATGCAACATCTAAAAATAATAACTAAATTCAACCAAATTAAATATTCAATATACATAGTAAAATATCATTTTATTCCTTTATATAATCTAACAACACAATTATTATTAGTACACACATTTATTTATATGAATAATAAACATTTTAAACGTTTACAAAACATACATTTGTGGTTTCATCACATTTTTAGAATAATTATTTCATTATAACAAACAATAATTATGAGGTCTTTCTGTTCAGTTCTTATCACACAGTCAAAGGTAAAACACAGTTTTGTCAGAATAAAATTGATGAGAACAAAACAAAAACTTCTATCCTCATCATATTCAGAGCATATTTTACACTTAATATGAAAAAAACCTTACCACAATATGACATTTCAGGCCAGTTAAAAATATATATAGAACTTTAAAAATAATTAATATATCAAATATATAATCAATTAAAATTTTAGTATTACATATCCGAGTATTAATGTGAATTTTGAAGTTGCCGGTTTCATTTTTTGAAGTTTCAAATAAATTGTCGATACCAATTGCATATTATTATAACAAATTGGACTTAATTGTTCGATGTATATGTAACTAAATATACATTGATACCAAACAGCTTCATCCAAAAATTAATTATATAAAGACGTTTAATTTCTATATTGTTTTGAAGTTTAACTCAATATGAAGATATCACATCTAACTGCAAAACATAATAATATATATATATATATATATATATATATATATATATATATATATATATATTAGATAAACATTCAGAAAAGATAAATTTAACATTAAATATAAAAATTTTGATTTAAGTTAACGTTTGTAATTCAAAAACATAATTAAGCTGCAATTATTTGATTCAGCAATAAATTGAAATAAAATATTTATTCATTTCATTTTCAGATCTGCTGTCATCTATATTTCAAAAATCCTACAAAATATCATCTTTTTATCATAATATTTTCATATAATTTACCCAATTTTATCACACATATATTTAGGTGAACAATTTAAATTTTAATATACAAATTTAAGGCACATCAAAAGTCCTTCAATTAAAAACTTTTTAAGTACAATAAAATTAAACTATAATTATAGGAAATCTCTAACTGCTGTGGAGCAAAAATAACAATGAAGTAAATTCTATAAAGTGTAATTTTACTTCTTGTATTACAACACAGCTTAAATAAATCATTAATTTTATTACAAATACTCTAGTTTTTTTCATATATTAAAAATCACATTTATATGAATAATATGTATAATATCTTTACCTTAATATTTGAATAACTATTGACATGTGCATATGCACGCCTATAGGCACACATGCATATACGACACATATATATACACACACACGCCCACACACACATTTATATATATATATATATATATATATATATATATATATAATTATACAGAGCTTTTATATTTAATATTGGGACAGTACGATCATTATGCAATTTCTTTTCATGATGCATATTTTTGTCGGATGAGTATGTACATAAAAAATTGCACAATACTAAATGAGTATGCAATTTTTTACTCCATCCTGACGTAACATATGAAATGAAATAAAATAAAAATATTCATAATTTGGAAGCACGAAGACTTTGGGTGAAATGTATTATAAATTACATAGCAAGCTTTTAGAAAGCAAACAACACCATTACTGATTGTTCAAAAATGTCAGTGCAGTAATAATCATGCACTCGTAACATTGTTAATATTACAACAATGCTACACTGGCCCATTTATATTTGTCATGAAAAATATAACATATTGATTATTATAAACTACATTATTACACTATCCCTGTATATCAAAATATATAACACACAAAAAATATTTTTTTTTTTATAAATATCCTCTTAATAAAACATGGCATGGTATTTTATATATATATATATATATATATATATATATATATATATATACATATACATATATATTAGATAGATGATTCTTGGAGTTCTAAATGTAGTGTTGTGAGCTTCAAATAAGTAATCGTTAAGTATAAATAAAAATTAGTGGGTTGTGATATGAATAATAAAATTCTAAGTGAGTGGAATATCAACAATTAAAATTATAAATGAATGGAATGGAATTAACTCAAAAAACTAATTTTCGTAGGTACAAAATTGTTATTTTTTTTTAAAAAAAGTTAATAAATACCAATTGACACAACTTTTAATAAAAAAAAGTTTTTAGTCATATACGAAGTGTTAGTACATAATCAATCATACATAATTTGATTTTCTCAATTCTCGCTCTCTTCGACATGTTTATTAAAAAATATCTAGTTGATATCTAACTTTTCGTTATATAATGCATTCATTTATATTTTTTATTATATATTATACTCACTCACTAATTTTTAATTATACTTTACTAGATTTGTTTATCATCTAATCAAGATCATGTTCTTGGCAGGCGTCTTGAAGATGAAACGTACATAGACGTTGAAATTGAACAGAATAATGTTAAAAAACTTTTTGGTTTTACATTACAAGTAGATTCCTTGTTTCATGCTATATATATATATATATATATATATATATATATATATGCCAACTCGAATCAAGTGATTCGAATCATTCTGTCACCCAGATTGTAATCACATTTTACTTGATTCGAATCAACTCGTATCAAGCCGAAAAATATTTACTGTGATACATATGTATGAACATAAATTTAAATAAAAATTTAAAAAATATAAATGTAAATATGTAAAAAATTAATTAAATTATGCGAGCCACCCGAATTCAATCGAGTCATTCGAGTTACTCGCATAATTCGACTTAAATCGAATCATTCGAGTTACACGCTTAATTCGAATTGAATCGAATCGTTCGAGTTACTCGTATAATTCGAATTGAATCGAATCATACAAGTTACTCGCATAATTCGAATTGAATCAAATCATTCGAGTTACTCGCATGATCCGAATTGAATCGAATCATTCGAGTTACACGCTTAATTCGAATTGAATCGAATCGTTCGAGTTACTCGTATAATTCGAATTGAATCGAATCATTCAAGTTACTCGCATAATTCGAATTGAATCAAATCATTCGAGTTACTCGCATGATCCGAATTGAATCGAATCAACTTCTGAACAGTTGCGCGATACAATAGCGTCATTGTGTTTGTCTATAATGCAAGAGCGAATTCATTTATAAAATAAAATGAACACGATATCAGACCCAAGATTCTGAATACTGTTTTATATGCTTTAGTAATGCAGAAATGTTTCATTATTTATTATTGTAAATTGTAACTGTATTGTATATTGTGAATTAATTTGAGAATATTTTTCAAACCTCTCCAAAATTAAATCATGTTTAATGATTTCTACAATCTTTACTTTGTATAGTATATTGGTTAAACTCAATATTTTTTATCATTAATTTTGATCTCACTTACTAAATAAATACATCGATGGGTTTTTTATGTCTTAGCTTTAATATTACCATATTTGAGTTGATTCGAACCAGGTGTTTATTTATAATTTCGTACGTTTTGATCAAATTTGATTTTCAGTACTTTATCGATGTATGTTTAATGTGTGATATTCGAAAATGAATAATTACATATCATAAATACGAGTATGCTACATATTACCGTTCAAATCAAAGTTCACTTTAGAACTTTCTACAAACCATCATTTATGAGCAGCAATATCAACTGCTGGCGCAATCAAACCTGCGGCAGTGGTGGTCGGAACAACTTGACCTTCTTTGATTTTGAGCCATGTGTCTCCGAGAGCTTTAGCGAAATGATCGTCTACTGAAAGAGATGAGTCGCGTAATAGAAGAGAAGGTCTCGGATCTGCGGGCTCCGACATGGGTCTCTCTTCGGCGGTGGCAGTCGCCGCCCCTGCAGGGTAATGCGGCGGAGGCGCTGGGGAAGGAGAACCTACGGCGCTCGATGCGCTACTTCGACGAGGTGCCTCGGAGCAGTATTTTACCTTACCTAATGGATAAGAGGATATGGTTTTGCTGCGCTGCAGATTGCTGGCTGATGGTCTATGGGATGACGACATGCCGTTGTTTGACAGCTGACTTCCACGTGCCGCTTGTGGACCCATCAGGTATTGCTCGTAATCGCTTCCCAAAGAACGCCTGAAGTGTTCTTCGATTATTGGATCGCACATTGATAATGACCCTATAATACAACAAAGTTTTAATAAAACTGATAAATAACATTTAAGCCTTACCCGAACAGTAATCATATTTCATAAATGAAGATTCTTCAAATGAAATGAACACAAAATTCTTTATAAGTGCTTTGCATCGTATAATAAAGTTTATAAAGATTTTTTTTTTCACTCAATCAAGCAATTTAACAAATTTTCTGCATAAGTTAAAGCAAGTAAGAATCTGAAGATAACACAAAAAACAGCCCAGAGAATGAGAATATCTTGACAAAAAGAAAACGCTCGCGAAATTATTTTTTAATTCTCTTATTGTGTATTACTTCTTAAAAAGAAATTAATAAACAAATTTATCTTTATTATAGAAATGTAATAGCATATTTTTATGAAATTTAGAAACAGCTACTTACTTTTCGTATAATGCCTACTTTTGTACTAGTCTACTAGTCCTTTGTTTCGTACAACACGGATTCGCATTTCACGTTAGTTTTTTTGGAATGCAACTGCCGTGTTATACGGGGGTTTCCTACATACAACTGAATTCAATATAAATACTCACTTGTGGCGGAATGTGTGATGACAGATGGTCTATGGAGTGCATTATTAGCAACGGCTTGCGAGTAAGAGGGTGGAGAGCCGCGGTTGACACGGGGCACCGTCATGTCGAGAGGCGTTTCGGACTCAAGTTGCGGCGATGTTATGGCGGGCGGTAAAACATACGAGCGATGAGCGGCGCAGCAAATGGTCTATCGTACTGCGATTCAAAATGGTCTATCGTACTGCGATTCAAGCAAAAGTTGATCAGCGTTGCTGTCGATGGTAGGCGAATGTAATCGTGATGCACACGTGCTCGCTCCTGCAGATCGCGTGCCAAATCCGAGTGCCGAGCCGCAAGTTCAGCATGTTCTCGAGCTATTTGATCCACAGGCACATCGAGTCTATGTCTTTCCAAATCTATCGAATGCCTCCCGTGTAAACGAAATCGTTCCCGTTCAAACAATTGTCTTTCACGTTCCGCTTGCGTCTGCTGAGTTCGATGGGATGCTCGCGCATTAATTCAGGATTGTCACGTAAAAGAGCAGTTTTGTTCCCTCGAAATTTCTGGATATTCTCGCATTGATCCGGATGCTGTCTGCTCAGTTCTGGATAATACCTAATAAGTTCCGGATTTCTCCGGATTAGTTCAGGATAGTACTTCAAAAGTTGAGGATTATCCTTTACTAATTGGGGGGTAATGTGATCAGTTCGGCTGGTCCCGAATTAATTCAGCATAGTGTCTTATCATTCCGGATGTTCTCTTATAATATCTGAATAATGGCGTACCAGACCTGGATGTTCCCGCATTCAGATCAGGATAGCGACTTAATATTTCTGGATTTCTCTAATTAATTCAGGGTAATATTTTATCAGTTCTGGATTCTCTCTTATTAATTCAGGATAAAGTTTGATTAGTTCAGGATTATACCGTATCAATTCAGGATATATGTCGTAATAACTCAGGATAATATCTTAATAGATCGGATGCTCCCTTATTAGTTCTGTGGTAATGTCTAACTAATTCAGCAGGTCTCTATCTCAACTAATTCTGGATAGTCCCCGAATCATCAATTCAGGATAATGTCTAATGAGTTCAGGATCTTCCCTGATCAGTTCAGGGTAAAACTTGACAAGTTCGGGGCAGTCTCTTAGAAGTTCAGGGTTGCTCTCTCAAAGCTGTGGATGCTGCCTAATTAATTCTGGATGCTCTCGTATATTAAATATTATTCGTGGCGTACTGCGAATTGTCCTCGTTCCAATGCGTCTGATGATCGGCTATCACAGGGATTGGAACTGTTTCACATTCAGGCGATCTGTCGCTTTTTTGATGAAGCAATTCCCGGTCCATCATCGATAATGAATCGTCGCTTAGATGTTCAGAAGGTTCGCGACTATGGTCCGAATAATCGCCGTATGGAGATTTGCTCCTGGGGATAATGGAAATCGTTCTTGCTGTTATGGACGCTGAATATGAGGGTTCTGCGGGGAGGATGGGGTGTGCCAAGTGGTTGGCGAAGGAGTCGCCGCCGGCGCAAGAGGGTCCGGAAAGACGAGCACGCCTCTCGCGACGCCACTTCGGTTGTTTTGGTAACTGCTTGGGCACTGTAAAAATAATACTGGTGAATACATATGTAAATTTTCATAAGTTTAAATATTACTACTTAAATAATAATAATATAAAAATTCAGCAGAAGAAAA